AAGCCATCGGTTCCTGAGGTATGATTGACATCTTGCGGCGCAAGTCGTGTAGACCCACACTCTTGGTGTCGACGCCGTCGATGAGTACCTGTCCCTCGCACTCACGCATCCGGAAGAGCGCCGCCACTACGGACGACTTGCCGGCACCGGTACGACCGACTATACCCACCCGCTCGCCACCCCTTATCATGCAATTCAAGTCCACTAAAGTGGGTTTCAGTGAGTTTTCGTATGTCATGTAAACGCCTCGCAATTCAATGCACCCCTCCGTTGGCCACTCCGGTGGGGGTTTCCGGAGACCCTCGAGTGGCGCCTCCGACTCGAGACGACTGTATTCGACGATCCGCTCGACGGATGTCATCTGATTCTCGACTTCGGCCGACTGCCGGACCCCCCACTGAGTCATACCCGTCACTCCCAACGCCATCGTTAAAGCCAGACCCGCGCTACCGCCGGGAACTCCTATTTAAACATTTTTAAAGTTTAATATTAAATGCAAAATTTTGTTTATTAATATGATGCATACCCTCGGGGAATAGCATTAGGAATAAAGCCACACATAGTATGTATAACAGGCACAGGTAGTCCATCACTATTCCTAATATTTATGATATAAAAGTCATTTTTAGGTTAAAAATATTTCTAAAAATAAATATAATGAAATAATTTATGGAAACCGAGTGCTCTGGATGAGTTGAAACACATGAAGTAAGTGGACGTGTGGTCATTCTGGTACCGGTAGTACTGATTCATAAACATATTCTGTGTCCCAAACGCGCGGATAGTCGCCAAACCACTCAATGTGGTGGTCATGTGGTTATATATAGGACTCCGGGCTGTAATGAGAGATATAATCAAAATTATATTACTGTACAAAAGTGGTATTAGTTTAGTAATCACTTATACCCATGTTTTCAAATCTTTTCAAATCTCTCGCTGTTTTTATATAAATCCATCGGATTATCAAGATTAGGATAATCAGCACAAGTGCTGGGAATATGAGGTACCAGTTCACGAGCGCCACCACCACTAAGTAGCCTATTAATTGAGCGGCAATCTATTGGATACATATTTTGGGAATTACAACATTTATATCTCATATCCCTTTCCCCTCCAATACATACACTAATCAAGTCATACAAACACAACGGCATCTGTTCGTCAACTATTCCCATG